GCCAGGGAGCGCCCGGTGACAAGCAGTTGCCCCGGCTCATCATCAGCAACTTCCTGAAGGCCAAGCAGAAGCCGGGCGGCACCCCCAACCCGCAGCAGCAGAAGAGCCAGGCCCGCCTGGCCCCCGAGATCGTGTCGGCCTCCCAGTACCGCAAGTTCGATGAGTTCCAGACGGGCATCCTCATCTACGAGCTGCTGCACCAGCCCAACCCGTTCGAGGTGCGGGCGCAGCTGCGGGGCCAGGACTACCGGCAGGAAGACCTGCCCGCGCTGCCCGCTCTGTCCCTCTACTCGCCCGGCCTGCAGCGGCTGGCACACCTGCTGCTGGAGGCCGACCCCATCAAGCGCATCCGCGTCGCCGAGGCCAGGCGCCTGCTGCAGTGCCTGCTCTGGGGACCGCGGCGCGAGCTGCTGGAGCCGCCCGGCGCCGCCGACGAGGCGCTGTGCAGCACGCTGCACAACTGGATTGACATGAAGCGGGCCCTGATGATGATGAAGTTTGCAGAGAAGGCGGTGGACCGCAGGCGAGGGGTGGAGCTGGAGGACTGGCTTTGCTGCCAGTACCTGGCGTCCGCGGAGCCCAGAGCCCTTCTGCAATCGCTGAAGCTCCTGCAGCTTCTGTGAGCAGAGCCCCCTGCCCTGCACCTCAGCCACCTTCCCATGCCTGGTCCTCTCTGGCCTCCATGCCCTGCCTTGTCTTGGAAACATCCGTGGCTCCCTGGGAAATGGTACAAATGACTGTCATACTTGGATATAATATATACATAAAATATATAAATATGAAAGACTAACGATGTTATTGCCCACTCTGGCCTCCTGTCCTCACCAAGTCCTCCCCAGTTTGATCCCGTAACTGTACGTTTCTAGCTCAGTGCAAGGTCCTGAGGGCAGTCCTGCCAACACCATGAAGTCTGGACTCTCGTTTCACTACCCCAGTATGGGATCTCTTCACTCTTATGTCAAATTGTTATTTAAAACAAAGCTCTTTTATCCCTAAGTGCCTGAGTCGTTAATATCATTGGTGTATAAAGTTGCATATGAACCTCTGGAACAGGAGCCAGCATCACTTGAAGTGCTCTTAGTCTTATGCTCCTCACAAGAGAGAGCAGCAGTCTATTAAGTCCTGGGCACATTGGTACCAATTAACCTTCCTTGCTTCTCTTCCCACCTAACAGCCTTCTAGAAAGAATCCAGACGTGGCTGGTGTGATCACAGTGGTTTGGAATTCAACCCCATTTTGCATTCGCTAAAGCCAGTCCCCAGTTGTATCAGTTAGAGGCCGGGCTGAAAACAGAATCCACCCCACGTGGTTCAAATGAACATACCTCAGGGGACCACTTAGAGGAGGGTGGCAGGGGTGAGAGAACAAAGCGGGATGAAGCAAAAGCCAGGGCCAGCACCGCAGGACAGGGGCCACCTCCAGGAGGTGTTTGTGCTGAGGTCTCTCCAGCCAGAGAGAGAAGAAGAAAGGGGAGAACTGCGTGTTGGCTCTCCCTGCTTACCACCTGCCACCTCCAAGCCAGCGGGGCACCAGCCAGCAAGGGAGCCTGAGCAATGCCATCTGAAGGATCAGCCTCCCAGACAGGACAATGGCAGGGAATGACTGGGATGGCAGGTGGCAAGCAGCCCACTGTTCCTGCTCTGCTCCATAATGGCAGTGCAAGAAGAACCCAGTGTTCCAACTCCCAGGCCAGTGCTCTCCCTGCACTCTAAGCTCCTTCAGGTCCCCTTTTCTAAAAACTCATTTAATCCATTCATTGGCACCTACTAACTGCTATAGTCAATACTTGTTCCAATGCCTTTAAAAATGCGCAAAAGTTTAGGAGACACTAGATCTTTCCTCCTCAAAACTGGATACACAGAAAAAGTCAAAAATCACTCATTTAAAGAGAAACAGCCCAAGAAGACCCTTGTAACACTACCTAAAGGGTAATCTTCCAACTAGCAAACCAATTAATATCCAAAACCTTGAATAACTATGGACAATTTTAAAATAAATGCAAAGATCTTAACGGATGTCCTAGAAATCTGGGAATGTGGTTAGCAACCAGGATGGGGAGCTCTCCCCGTGCCCTTCCGCATATCAGCCTCACTCCTTTTGCAGGCTCCACCTTCTAGCCTCCTACTCCCTGTAAACACATCCACATTTCCATGCATCAGTGGTGAGGACGCACCTGGGGGCACATTTATAATTTCAACTGTTGCTTGAATACTGAGGAAAGTGCTGGTGAAAACCAGCTCCCAGCTATGTTTGTGTAAGAGAAAGAAAGAGGCTTTGAATGTGGAAATCATAACTCTCCTTAGGACCTCTCTGATTCAGAGGGTATTGTTTTGTCAGTTGTTTGTTCCTAGGAGTTTTCCAGGCCAACCCTCTACCCTTGATTTGCTGTTTTTTGCTTTCTTGTTCTTTCTGCCTTCAAGTAAATAAACAATGGAGAGGGAGGAAACAAACATCGCCCGGGGATGCAGCACCCTTTGGAAGCGCACGTCTCAGGAGGCACACTTCTAATCCCTGAATTAATTGCACTTTTTTATAAGCCACCCACTTCAGGGAGAAAAAAATGAGACTGTAAAAACAGTTTTTAACAACCAAAAAGAACCAAAAAGTAAAGGCGGAAAAAGAAGAAACTATAGCAATAAATTCTGATTGAGAAAAATGAGAGCAGTTAAGCAAAGAACTTACTTTTGAGCTGCCTTCAACCTAAAAAAAAGAAATCTGGTTGCAGAATCCTTTTTGTGTAATTTTAGGAAACGGTTCATTGGGAGGAACAAACCTTTGTCAGGGCTTGGTTCTTAAGGAAATTTGTCAAGGATTCTTTGTTTGAAGACATTGAATAATGCCCCAGTAACAGATTTAGAAAGAAAAAAAAAGCATTTTTCAGTTTCCTACATCCAGCATTGGTGAAATTTAAGTGTGTAGCATTCAAGCCTTGTTCCATCAAGGCACTTCTCCAGAGTAATTGCCACCCATTCATCTCCATGGGTCGGCCTTTTCCATAAATAATAAATCATGTGGCTACAAATAGTGAGTCTGGCAAAGAGCTTTAGTCACACTAAATTCAGAGGTTCAAAATAACTGGTTTTTAGTTACCTCAAAATGCACCTGACATGTGCCAGTTTGTCTCAAAGAAAGCTCCAGCGCTAAATGCATTAAGTTGAGAAACAATAGTTTGTTCTGCAGGACTGAGGTTCAGAAATTATCAGGAACCTTTGTGTGAGGACAATCACGTAGCATCTGGCTATTCAATATTCCTGCTATCTGTGAGTTCATCTCCCTGATTTTCTTGGCTTTTGGCCTTAACTACTGGTATTTAAAGCTTCAGTTTTTCTTCTCTCCGACTGAGTCAAGTTGTCCCCATGCCCTTTCCACATGTGTAATTTTTGTTGTTAATGGGCCTTTCCCAACTTCATGCCAAGATGTGGAACGTTTCTCCTCTCCTAAGTTTTTTCCTGTAGGCGTTATGAAGACTCACATCTGAATGGTTATATCCTCACCAGAAGGAGATGAGAACTTTAGGGATTATTTATTTATTACTACACGCTCTGGGGAGCTGTAGTTACCACTGTATATAACACTTGCTGGTTTTCAAAAACTTAGGGCTGGAGAAAACTCTTGGAAAGTACACATGTACACGAAACAATTATGAAGATTTTGAAGAGGGAAGACACGTTCCTTTCATGATGTCTCTGAAATTTGCCTTTTAAATACATAGCCAATAAAGGCAACCCATTCCCACTCTGCTATTTGAAAATCTTTGAAGATCTAAGAATAAGCTTACTCAATCTCACTAAAAGTAGTATATTTGTAATGCAAAATCCACTTGCCGTACTTAACAGGGTGATGTGAATGAAATTCATTCATTAGAAACCCAAATTTAACCCAGCTGATGTCATTGCTGAAAATAAAAGACAAGAATAAAATGTTTCGGGCAAGTTCGGTGGGGTGAATGTCCTGACAAATTACTCTTTCTTTCTCTTTTCCAGTGCTAATTAATACAGGTAAAGGGGCAGCCTCCATGTAAGAGATACCCTAGGAAGAGGACATGCGCCTGGGAAAGTGGTTAGGATATAGTCTGAGGGGTTCCAAGGCCCCAGGAAAGGAGTCCGAATTATCCCCCAAATGATATCATTGATTTAGGGAAACTAGAGTTGGGTCAGATCTTTCAGGACCAATTTGGATCCTTCCTGGATCCTGGATACTCAAGTCTTCTCTGGTCTGAATCTTTCTTCTCAGGACTTGGCTACATCTATTCCAGCTTTCTGGAATGGGGGAAGCAAAGTCAAGTTTACTCCAGATTTTCTTCATGCTAACAAGCCAGCTTGGTACTGGATTATCCCAGTGGGGATTTAAACACTGGTTACATATTCCAGATGCTGGATTCAAATCTTTCCAGATCCTTCACCAGAGAAGACTATAGCTATTTCCCAAAAAGTACTGGACAGTGGGTGTGTTTAGACTGTCAAGACTTTTATGTACTGTAATGGACTTAAAGGTTATTCTGCAGACTGCTGCCTTACTGCCCTATGAGGGGTAATCAGGCATGGGGACAGGTTGAGGGAAGTGAGCATGGAGGTCTAAGGAAGAAAGAGAAGGCAAGAAATGAGAAAACAAGACTCAGAGACAAACCACCTGCTTTACCATGTGCCTGGATCCAGCCCTGATGACTTCCCACAACCCTGAAAGGGTATTTGCACCTGCCAGCCCTTTACTGAGATCACATGGACACTTGCATGTCTAGTCTCTTCCCAGAGATCTCCAGGGATGGGAAAGCTATACCCGTTTCCTCTTTTCTAGATTGTGTAGAGTTCAACTTCAGAGTTTATAGCAGATTCCTGAACAAGTCAGAGGACTTAAGAACTGAGCCCTTCATTTTGGTCCTGTGTTTACTGACCATTCCCATCACCATGGTGATGCAGACAGATTTCAGTTATCCTAAAGCAGTAACAGGATTTTCTCTTCCCAACCCTTCAGCTTTGTTGGTTTGATTTGAGTATGCAAATGTAACATGGCACTAAAAGTCAAAACTATTCAAAAAGGTACGCTCAGAGCAGTACCACTCCCCCATGCCTCCTACCCCCTTCCCGTTCCTCCATCCTTCCCTGCAGCAACCAAACTCACCAATTTCCACTCCCGGTGTTTCGTTTGCACAAATGAGCAGACACAAGTATATTTCTTCCTTCTTTCTTATACAGAAGTTAGCATAGCAGAGGTGCAAGAACACTTTGCTTTTCTCACTTAACAGTATGTCAACAGGAACGTTCTTAAAGAGAGGAAGGACCTGATCTCTCTCTGGAGTCAGAGAACTGACAAGGTTTCATCGCTCTGTACCCAGGTATGAAAGCATCATTTGCACTGCTTGGAGAGTAATAATTCATCAAACTTTTAATGATCCCTTACTGGTACTGTTCCGTGGTTTAGGTCTTAGGACAACTTATTTTATTTCCGTTGGGAGATGCAGACTGTTTTTCCTCCCAGATGGAAACCCTGAGGCTTGCCCCAAACCGCAGTTGGCTTTAGCGGCAGACCCCCGAGTTCATGATAAAATTCATCCTCAGGCCCTTACTAATCCCTGGAGTGACACTGCTGGTTTTTTCACTTGAAACTCAACACTTCTTTGATAAACTCTGCATCAGTCTTTCTCAGCAAACCCGGCCTGGTGGCTATGGCCAGTTCTCAGAGGAAAACACTTCAGATGATCTTCCAGAGATTGTGTTTAAGGAAGAATGAAGTTATGCTACTCTGCATCTTGGCTCTTCTGGGGCTCCAGTGTGGCCATGCCTTTCCATGACTTTAGAGAGCTGCAATGTAAGCAACAAGGATTCCACTCATTGAAATCGTGCATGGAACTTGGAGTTAGCTCTTAAACAAAAGAAGCCTGATGCTGTTGGCCTTGGCTGAGTCGGACATGAGTCATGTGCTGTTTCCAGTACCTGATTGAACATGGATAGAATGAAGGAGCTGGCTGGGTGTTGGCAGTGGAACAGTTCCAAGTGGAC